ATTTAGAATTATTGTTGAATTTATGATTAATTTTATTGAAAAAAAATTTGAAAAAAAAATTTCAAGAATTTATACATACTTGTAGAAAAAAAAAAAAGTTAGGTTAAGTTAAATATATATCGTAATATAAGCACATGTCTTTACTTCATATTTTCTTTAAGTTGTATAAGATCTTAATATAATAAAATGGGTAAAGCAAAGAAGATAAAAGTGTCAAAAAGTGAAATTAAACAACCAAAAATAGCCTTAGGTGATCAAATAGAAGAAGAAAAAAATATAAAATCGAAAAAAAGACAGAAAATTAAAATTCGTAATGAAGATGACGATGAGGTTAAATTCATTATATTTTAATTTCGCGAAATATTTTAAAATTTTAGTTAATATTTGTTTTATTATATATATTATTCTTAAAATAAAATTTTATATTTACTTTGTAATTTATTATAATTTAGAATTTAATGTTTTTAAAATCAATTAAATTCAATATGTATACATTAAAGTATACATATAATTAATAATACTTTGTGTAATAATAAATATAAATATAAGTATAAATATTAATTTAAGTATTAACTTTTAATGAATTATTCTATTTTCAAACCAGTTTGTGGATCCTGTTCTTACAAAACGAATTTTATCTCAAGCCAGACAACAACAAATGGAAATTGAAGAGGAAAATGGAATCGGACAAACATCAAAATCTATAAAAAAACCAATTATAAAACTTAACAATAGTACTGAATTTAGTGATATAGAAGAACAATCAAGTGAAGATGAACAAGATATTGCACAATATTATGAGAATATTGAAATAAATGAAGAAGATGAGCGAGCTATCCAAATGTTCATGTCTAAGGATCCTACACCTATGAAAACATTAGCTGATATTATATTAGAAAAATTAACAGAAAAGAAAACGGAAATTGAAACTCAATTTTCAGATGCTGGCTCTCTTCAAATGCAAGATTTAGATGCAAGAGTTAAAGCAATGTATGAAGGTGTTAGAGATGTATTATCAAAATATCGTAGTGGAAAATTACCTAAAGCATTCAAAATTGTACCTAGTTTAAGAAATTGGGAACAAATATTATATATTACGGACCCACCAAGATGGTCAGCTGCAGCAATGTATCAAGCTACTCGAATATTTGCCTCCAATCTTAAAGAAAAAATGGCCCAAAGATTTTATAATTTAATACTATTACCTCGAATTAGAGATGATTTAGCAGAATATAAAAGATTAAATTTTCACTTATATCAAGCTTTACGAAAAGCATTATTTAAACCTGCTGGCTTTATGAAAGGAATTTTACTTCCTCTTTTAGAATCTGGAACATGTACATTAAGAGAAGCTGTTATTATTGGATCTGTAATTGCTAAAAATTCAATACCAATTTTGCATTCTTCAGCAGCAATATTAAAAATTGCAGAAATGGATTATACCGGAGCTAATAGTATCTTTCTCAGAATATTTTTAGATAAAAAATATGCTCTTCCATATAGAGTCATTGATGCAGTGGTATTTCATTTTCTTAGGTAAAAATTAAATTTTAATCATATAATTTTAATGATTATATTTAATTCAATAATATTTATTTTTAGATTTGAAAGAGATCCTAGAGAATTGCCAGTTTTATGGCATCAAGCATTATTAACTTTTGTACAACGTTATAAGAGTGATATTAGTTCAGAGCAAAAAGAGGCTTTGTTAAGATTATTAAGAAAACAATCTCATCATACAATCACATCTGAAGTGAGAAGAGAATTACAACATGCTAAATGCAGAGATTTAGAAATGACAGAACCTAAACTAGAACCTATGATTCATTAGATATTAATTAAATTTTTTATCTAAAATTTTTTATAAAATATATATATCTTTTTTAATACACATTTTAACTCTTTTTATATAACAAAATCAGAAAACTTGTAATTTATTAATTATTCAATTATTTCGAATTAATATATAATAAATTATAAATAAATATATATCAAAATAATTCAATTTAAAATTATACTATAATCTTATTGATCA